GTAGCCTCTCCCCTTTCTAAAATCACCACCCTAGGTGATGACAGGATCCAATCATTGTTCATTATATGAGTTCATCCCAATAGCTGCAATTTCTTCATAGCAGTTCTAAGTTTCTGCTTGATTAGTTTTAACTGATGCAGGTTGATTTGAGGAATTGATTGTTGCAGAGCTGTAGATTTGCTGCAAGTATAGTGTAGAACTGCAGGTTTAATGGCTGAGTTGCAGTTAATTTGCAAGCAGATTAATGCAGCTTGGTGGAGGAGTTGATTGTTGCAGAACTGCAGATTTGCTGCAAGTATTAGTGTGAACTGCAGGTTTAATGGTTGAATTGCAGTTGATTTGCACTGCAGTTAATGCAGGTTGGTTTAAGGAGTTGATTGTAGGTTGGTTTGATGAGTTGATTGTTGCAAAGCTGCAAATTTGTTGGAGCTGATATTGCTGCAATGTTATGTTGCATTTTAAATGAAATTTTGAAGTTTAATGAGTTGACTTGAGAAAACGGTTTAAGCTGCAAGATTAATGCAGGTTTGAGAAGTTGATTTGAGGAGGCATATTGAGATAGTTGAAAAGTAAACCAGTTTTTGTCTAAGGGGAAGTATTAGCAAAAGATTATAATCAACTGGACTGTTTTTATTCATTATAATCAGTAAAGCATGCATTCTTGAGGTCTCTACACTCTGCTCGTGATTTGTCTTCATTAATGCCGCTGACAATTTCTCCACATGCAATCAGTTTTTGTTTTCTAGTATTTGTCCATTGGCCCTCAAAATGCAGTGGCTTGATAATTACATTAGTCATTCCTTTCTTCTTGTAACTTTCCAATAACAATATATATATTCCAATTTTTATAATATATTGGGACCCTATGCGTCCCAATAATGTGAGTTTTGATTATAATTACCACTTATACATAATATATAAACTCGTTTAAATGACTATTATTTTAAGAATTTTAGACAATTTGGTTTATGGTATAGGCGTATAGCAGCCTTAAAGTGTTCTGAAGTCGTTGGAATACAATATATTATATGTTTTTGTATATCTAGAAATTATATTACGGAACCCACTTGAATCATAGCTTTCGGAGGGCATCTACTACAGAAAAATCTGAATAATACTTGGAAATTGGAATCGAATTGTGTAACACGTTCAGAAAAATTAAAGAATCTGAATAATACTTAGAGAAGGACTTTGAGTCCTAGACGAAATTTACAAAGTTAACAATTTTAGTATGTTAATTAGTTTAAAAGTAAAATCACACTATTGATCAAATCCAAAATATAAGAAAACTGATTCTGCAAGTATTTCAAAAAAGGTAATAAAAACAGAGATCTCAAAAACAGAGTGTTTGTTTATTGTTTGGTTCTCTCTCTCCAGTAACAATTGAATCTCGGACATAAGGAAAATAGATAGAGAATGTAAAACCAGAAATCTAAAACCGGGTTTGCCATCAAAATATTAACATGCGAAAATAAAAAAAATAAAAAAAGAAGAACGATGCACTGAAAGTTCTGTTCTACTTTCGACAGAAAAAATCTCTGCAACCTGCGGCAATGTGTAAAATACGAACATGTTACAGTTGAAACTTTTTCGGATGCAAACCAGCATCGTTATAATCATAAAATATAAGTAGATGACCTTATATACAAAGACATTACATGAACACAAGCCATCTGCCAAAAGTGGAAAACAGAGAAGAAAGCCATTGATTAGCTTTACCTACTACAAAAGATGACAAATGTTAGTGAAATGAGCAGTTTCAGAGCTCTATTTCTATGAACTTGAAACACTTGAAACTTTTGTGGGTGCTTTGGTTTATGGCAGTTCATTACACGTTTATATACAAATGGTGTTAACCCTGGAAAATAAGGGCTGACGTGGGAAAGTCACGTACGGGGACCTGCTCCCGTCAGGGCAACATGCACACGTCAGACCTTCAAGTAACTGGAGCTCACACGCGTCCATTCCTCTGCGCAAGTCGTGCGAAATCGCTTGGAAAAAGGAAAATGGGACGTAAGCCGGATTACATCCGACAATCACACCAACCCATGGATTTAATGATGATTACACGCTTCAGTTTGAAATAAAATGAGGAAGACCCCTCATTAGGGGGATTCGGCCATTGACAAAAAACAACTTTTCTTGTAAAAGAAAAACACTTACTTTTCATAACTTTTTGTACGTCAGTCCGTTCGCGACCTGACCACACTAATATCAATACAAATCAGTGGACGTAGGATTTGTACCTTAGCATCCGAACCACTTTAAAGACTTCTTTGCATTATTCATTTGAGGCATCATTATCACGTGTGTAATCATCAAATGCATTATCCACGTGAGAATTGGTTGGTGCCTAAAACGAGCATTAACAAATGCCATTTGCTTTTGCTTGAATAACAGCATTATGCACCACACGCTCCACAAGGTGTTCTTTTTCATAAAGATCAATCATATGCGATGAAGAAAACTAAAGAATTTGATCAGTCCAGAATTAAAAGGTTCAAAAATCCACCACATAAAAAGTTTCAGGCAAGGTATGCACCACGTCGTTGCCATGAGATAAGCGAGTTCCACTAACAAATAAACTTTGATTCCCTTACCGTCAATATAGATTTTGTTCATTGATTTGCTGTTCATTTTGATTTGCTGTGTAAAATGTCTTTTGAGAAAAACCCAGATGAGTTGTTGAGTTATGAGAGGCAAATGTGTTCATTTTACACAAAAATGAAAATAATTGCAATAGTTGAAGTGGGTTTGAAGAGAGAGAGAATGAAAAAGAGTTGTGGAGAAGAAGGTGTAAATTGGAGTGGTAATTCACATTGATGAGAAGGGCAGTTTTGGGGAAATGAAAGGAAGAAGAAGACGCTGTGCTTTGATTTGCTGGGAAAAAGCTGCAAACGAGCTTGGCTGAGCTCGAACTCGGCTCGGCTCGGCTCGGCTGAAACTATACGAGTCGAGCCGAGTCGAGCTGAGCCATGAGTTTAATTGACGAGCCGAGCTCGAGCTCAAGTGGAGCTCGACGAGCCGAGCTCGAGTCGAGCTCCACCATCTCACGAGCCGAGCTCGAGCCGGCTACTACTCGGTCGCGGCTCGTATGCATACCTAAGTCAAACCCAATGAAATTAAATTATCAACACTGTATAACAGGTAACGTTTCTGCAGTAATTTTAACAGTACCCTATATAGATAAATAAAGAATAATAAATAAAAACAAATCTTTTTAGTTGAATGGAGACGAGAATTGAAACACCATTTCAATTTTAGAATGAATTAAATAGCCATAAAGTTTGAAACTCTTTCGAATTTGAGATGTAAAATGGGGGAATATCCATAAACAAAAAAAAAAAAAATAAAACACCTCCTGCTTTGACCTCTCGTTCTCTTCTTCGACTTTCGTGTCTTTCTTTCTTTCTCTATAGCGTTCGATGAGGAATAACAAAGAGGGAAAAAAACAACACAACAAAACTACCATTAACAAGTGCTTCTTCTCTTTTATTTACGCTGTCTTTACCTTCGCCTTTTTATATTCCTATAATTTTTTTTTTTTGTATTTTTGGGACAAAATTATAGATAACAGAGTCCCACCAATTATTCAAAGAATATATTGCATTTGGATTGTGGGTATGAATTGTTAGCCAATTCGAGCTCAATGAGTTATTCTGAAATAAAAATTTTAATTTGTTGTGGTTGGAATGAGCAAATTTGTTTAATTGATGGATGGATCCATTTTGAGAATCGGGCGAATTAATTGTTCCTTTTTTTTACAAATTTGTGGTGAAAATTGTTTCCTTTTGATTATTTTAATCGGGTATTTGTTTATCCCGGGTGTTTTTTTTTTCCCCTAATTTTTTATTTGTTTTATTTTTTTTCTTAAATTACGGAATTGAGTTTACCAGTAAGAAAAACCACCCAGATAAGCTTTTTTACAGAAAAAACTACGCAGGTTCAGATAGGGTCTTTAGTCATAATTGGTGTTTTGAGGTTTAGATACTATGAAGGTGGGGTTTGACTAAAAGGGATTGGGTTGCAATGTATTTAGATTGGGAAACTCGATGAAGCCGTGGGATTTTAACTGACTTCTTTGAATGGATGATTGGGCGAAATGAGAAAGCTAGTTCGGAGAGTTCTCTATACAAGGAAGCCATGTTACCATAAGGATAGTAACTCTGACGTTTAATAAGATTAAAATTTGTGTATGCTGTGACATATTGTGATTTTCTTGGGTTGTAGCATGCTGGTTGTGCATAATTATGGTATGATCAAATCATTTACTCAGTAAGGATTAAGTATTGGGCTTTTTGACCATATTGGTTAGATTTCATGTTGTTTTTGTAGCGTGTATGAAATAGGGTTTCAGGTATATGTTCTACCTTGGTGTATGCAATCATGCATAATGAAGACAAAGAAGAGAGAAGAAAGATTTAAACTTACCATAACCTTATCTTTTGCACATTTTGTCTTAGAAAACTTAAAGAAATTATTAACTAGGAAGAATTAGCGAAATATTGGTACTACCTTTCTTTTGGTATTTTTTTTTGTTTTAATAATATGGATGTATTCAACAAACGATCCACGCCCAACTTACCCATGAAGATTATTGGAGAGATAGGTCTCTATTGTTATTTTTTTTGTTAGACTTGGATTGACATTGACGCAAATTAGATTTGGGCTGTGCTTTGTTTGGTTGTCCATAACTCACTGTTTTGAACTGAAGGGCTGTGTAATATATATATATATTAATATTATATATATATATATATAATATATATATATATATAATATATAATTTTGTATGCATAATTATGTATTAGGAAATAGTGATCCCGCTGTTAAGTGGAGAAACTTAAAATGTGTTTCTAATCCTAAGAATCATTTTTGATGTTTACTTTTTTCACCCTAAATGAAGGTTCTTTTCTTTTTTATTTGTTCTTTTTCTTCTTTGCAGGTTTATTTTGTAATGGATTTTAATTTTTATGTAGTGTTTGTTACTTTGTTTTTAGGTTGGAATTTGATGTATACTAATAATTGGAGGCCTGCTTCTCAAGGCAGAGAACCTGTCATGGACACTGGTGATTGGAGAAATCACTTGCAGCCTGATTCACGACAAAGAATTGTCAACAAGATGTAAGTGCCTTTTTCTTTTTCTCCCTGCTATAAGTCTGTTGCTTAAAAATTAACACTCTTAGGTTTTTCAATTTGCCTTGGAATGTCTTGGATCCTATAGGCAATTGTACCGCTTTGTATATTAACTGAAGTTCTTACAAATCAACCAGAAAAAAAAAAAGGGTCAGAAGTCAATCACCAGTTAGTGAGACCACCATAAACGACTCTTTATCCACAGTTGACAAGTTGTTTGTTAAGTTGGTCATGTGAACATTGAGAATTGAAGCATGGATCAGCTAGCAGATAGGGGGCCTGTCTACGGATTTCGAATATAAAACTTGGGTGCCAAATTCATCTGATAGGGTTTAATGCACTCTGTCATTCTGGACTGCCATGTCATTTTGAATAATGTTACTATATGAGAATACATTCTTGTCTCAAAAATTATTGTTTGGAGTACTATTGTAATTTAGCTACAGAGAAATAACAGGTCAATGATAGCAAAAGAGGTTTCCTATAACCCCAAGGGGTTGGCCTGGTGGTCAAGGAGGTGTGCTCCCTTCCTTGACTTCTAAGGTTCAAACCTTGGGGCCACCTACCTCAATGCATAATTGTGACTTATCCAGTTCATTGGGTTTATAGGGTATTCAATGGATTCTAGAGATTAATTGAGATGCACGTAAGCTGGTCTGGACACCTCGGTTACCACAAAAAAAAAAAAAAAAAAAAAAAAAGAAATAGAAAAAAAATAGGTTTCCTGCTTAGTAGTTCTTTATCATTAATGTGTACTTATATTGTGTTAAGATGGAAACCAGGGAGTGTGAAAGATGCTCACTACAAATAAAAGGATTTAAGGTATTTTAAAATGGCATGTCGTAAACCAGATATTGATGTGTCACCATCTTGCTTGTGATGGAGTTATTTATCTAGAATTATGTGGTCTCATGTGATGATAAACATGGCTTATGTCATTATTAAGTCCATTCTTTTGAACATCGAGAGATATTTATTTACTCCAAATTCTTTCCCATGGAGGATATGATCACTCCACTTGGCTAATATCTATTCTCTTTTCTGGCAGCAATATTATGAGTTTGAAATTAAAATTGTATTACAAATAGGAAGCTGAAAATATTTTGAGTCATTGAGTTAGCATATGACTGTTTGTTTTACAAGTTGCTTTGAAAGAATATTCCTAGTTTGCTACTAATATTTGTGAGCATACAACCTAAACTTTCATTCTCAATAGTGATTGTGCAAACATTCCTTGGTTCTTTTTGGTATGAAAGGCTTAGCTGTCATGAAATATATGGTTTTTATTTAAGTAGGTTATGGAAAATTAAGGTTAGTTTCAAGTTGGTGCTTTCGAAAAAATTTCTTTTGTGGTTCGATTGTTACATCACATTATGGATTACCAAATAAGGTTTTTCTTGGTAAGAACAATACTTGCACGATCAGCAACTCACTTATGTTTTATTCTGCATAGCACGGATAACTGCAGAGGCATCTTCCTTTTCCTGGATTGAATGAACTCAAGAAAATTGCTGGAAGGTTTGAGGAGAAGATATATACTGCTGCAACAAGTCAGGTAAAATTTTGATCTGAGTTCTATGATGTTCATCAATGTATACATGAAAAAAAATAAAAACACTATTTCCATATATTTGCACTTCATTTTTGTGCTAGCCAGCTAGCCAATATTATTCTTCTTTTCAAATATCATAATTTTTTTAATCTTTTGCCTCTCATCATACCATGGAGCTTTCCAAGAAAATTCTCTGAACCTCTGTCATTTTATTTGTTTGTTTCTGTTTAATAGTGCATTCACACCATTAGGTCATTTTTTTTATGGTGCGTGTGAGAGATTTTGGAATTTAAAGTACTATGAGATTTGAAATTTTATATTTATCCCAAATTTCACTCAGATTATTTGCGGAAAATATCTTGGAAGATGCTTTCAATGGAGTCAAAATCTCAAAATCCTATGCCTAATTCTTTGCCATCCAGTACTGCTGGTAATAGCAACAAACCGCCGGATCAAGGTAATAACATTCATGAGAACTTTTCTCTTAAGACACTGAAAACTTCACTTGCAACTTGGTCTATCTAGTCATGCTTTTTGGCTGGTAGAGTTGGTTAAATCTATTCAAACATGTCATGAATGCATGAATTATCATCTCAATTATACTAATCCTATTAATAATCTATAGCTTTGGATATTGATGACAAGCTTTGTGTTTTGAGAAGGACACAAGGGGTCGTGTTAAACTTGTCCCAAAAATGTTGTTACCCTGGAAACGACATTGTGTATTTTAAAGTTTGGAAGTATTTTTTTATTGGCAAGATGCAACCAAAAGCTTAAGGTATTAAGTAGATACCATACTAGATGTTACACTCGATGGATTTAGGTTAGTTTAACATATTAAACATGTATTATTCACTATAACTGATTGTTTATTCCTTGTATAGAATACATAGATTCTGTATTGATAACAAAAATAACAAGATGGTCAACATCTTTGGTTGTATGAAATTGCACATGCCATTTAAAAAGATAATTAATTCCCTAGAGTGACTTGTTAAGTTCCCAAATCGGGAGGGCTGTGTAATTTGGCCAAACCATAGGGTAGGGGTAGGTGAAATAAAATTCTGTTATTTTCTTCTCCCTTCCTCCTCTTCTCTGCCCCCGCCCCAAAACCAAAAGAAATTTCACCCTTTTAATGGTGGATTTCCTTGTCTACTCTTAATCTAAATCCATCTAAAAGTCATTTTGTTCCTCTTGGTTTTCAAACGACTCTTTTAGTTAATTGTTACCTGCTTTTGTCGCTATGTTTTTCCCTCTTTAAGTTTTTTTATTGATTTCTATTCGTTTTCCTATTTTAAATAGGAACTCGCGTGGAATGCCAAGTTCATGACCAAGGGCAATCACTTCCTATCCCAATGTCAGCTAATCAGTCTCAACCACACCAACAGCTTTTATCCCAGAACATTCAGAATAACATGACATCAAATGGAGTTTCGGGCTCTTCTGGATTGCCATCTGCTCTTCCTTCTGTCTTTGTTTTATCACAGGCTCCAATGCCCAGTGTTGTAAACCAAAATTCCACCATGCAAAATATATCTGGTGCTTCACAGAACATGGTGTCTTCTATGGGGCAAGGGGCGCCCTCCAATCTCTGTGCCAATTCCCAGATGCAAATGCAAGGAAGGCAACTGGTTCTTCCCCCACAGCAACAACAGCAATCCCAGAATCCACATCAGTATATGTACCAGCAGCAGTTGCAACAACAATTTCTGAAGCAGAAGCTGCAGCATGGTAATCTCTCACACTCACTAATGCAACCTCACATGCACCAGCAGCAGCCGAACATACTACAGCCTAATCAGTTGCAATCTTCTCAGCAATCTGGTATGCAATCATCATCTGTTATGCAACCTTCCTTGATCCAGTCAGCCCCTCTCTCTAGTCTTCAGCAGAACCAGCAGACGCGTGTTCAACAGTGGACACAGTCCATGATGCAGCCGTGCCCACAATCAGTCCTTAGGCCACAGCATGGTTGGTATATCTTTACCTGCTTTCATGGTTATGTTTCTGGGATGTTTTATCCCTCTTAAGTTGGTTGTTATATCTTATTCTTTCTTTGGTTTTCCTATTTTAAATAGGGACTGGCATGCAAAACCAAGTTCATAACCAAGGGCAACCACTTCCTATCCCATTGTCAGCTAATCAGTCTCAGCCATGCCAACGGCTGTTCTCCCAGTACATTCAGAATAACATGACATCAACTGGACTTCCGGGTTCTTCTGGATTGCCATTTTTGCTTCCTTCTGTCTCTGGTTTAACAAAGACTCCAATCCCCAGTGTTGTAAACCAAAATTCCACCGTGCAAAATATATCTGGTGTTTCACAAAACACAATACCTTCATTGGGACAAGGGGTGCCCTCCAATCTCTTTGCCAATTCTCAGAGGGAAATGCAAGCAATGCTACAGGTTCTTCCCCAGCTGCAACAACACCAATCCCAGAACCCACAACAGCATATGCCATCAAAAGCTGCCTTCACAAAACCAGCAGCACCGATAACACTGCCGTCAATGATGCCTTCACAAAAACAGCGGCAGCAGCTAATGGGGCAACTTTCAAACGCTGCAAACATGCTGCAGAATCAGTTGATTGGCAAACAATATAGTGTTGGAGATATTGAGCAGCAACTACACCAGCGGTTGCTAGGACAGAAGAGTAATCTTCCAAAACTGCAGCAACAGATAAATCATGCTCTAATATTTTGTGTATTCTTTGTTTCTGTACTGTTGTGGTTCCTTTATCTCGTATGAACTTTATACTTGCCTGCGATTTGTTTTCTATATTGCTGTCAATTCCACTTTAAAAATTTGCATATGCGATCGGAGTTTTTCTTATAATATTGGAATTTCCTTTTTATTGCATGATTGTTCATTTCATTTCGAGTGTTCTTTGATCATTGAACTCTATGCCACGTGTATAAGTATAATTTTCTTGTTGCTGCTGGGGTAACGCAGAGCCTGATTCATGGTATGAGTTAATTGTCCTGGGTACAAATTCCCATTTAACTCAGGCTTACCCAATGTTGATCAGTTAAGCTTCTTTGGCTTGCACAGTTCAGGCCAGACAAGCAAATGCAGGTGATTGGCAACAGGAGGTCTACCAATAGGTTTTTTGTCAAGTTCCTTGCTGAAGTTTACTTAATACTTGGGATAAAATATCAAAGATACAGTCAATCAAAAACTATGAATATAACATTGTGAAACCCCAAGGGGTTGGCCTAGAGATAGTTGAGGTGCGCAGATGCTAATCCGAACATCCAGGTCGGCAAAAATAAAAAAATAAAAAAGTAACATTGTGAAAGAATTCCAGCAACATATTCTGATGGGACCTGGATAATGACGGTGTAGGAAAAGTGAAATCAGATAGCAAATAGTGGATTGAGGGGATGTTGGTAGGAAACTTCTATGGGTATAGGCTAGGACAGGTGGCGATTGGGG